TTCCTGTTTTTTTGTGTTGTGCTTTGAAATATTTTTGTTACCTGATCTGAGCCCCCGTGTTCTGCTGCTCATTTCTGATCAGAGTCTGAATTCATGTCTGTCAATAAATACCACCTTATGTTAAAAAATCCAAACTATCCCTGTTAGTGTGCTCTAAAGAATAGTCTGTGATTATTCAGGTTTCAATTGCCCCTAATTAAATAAGTAAAATTAAAAATCTCTAATGATGACAATGAAATGAAAGGAGTCTTACCTCTGAATGAATTCCAGAGTACAAGCTGCCTCTTCTTGATATTGAAGGTTGAATATATAGTAGATTGCAAACACAGCAGCCAGTCCCGTCAAAAAGGATGGTGTGATGCCCTCACATATTACACGACCCTCCAGAGTGACCATCCAGCGTGCAATAGTGACTTGCCCTGTTCCACCTGAAACTTCCAAGTAATACTAACATCAGCAACATCATTTACTTTATGTACACATCTATAAAGTCTCAGAACAATGACCAGTCTGATATATGAAACAATGAAAATGAAAAGCTTACCAAGCAGTATCAGACGAGGGCTTGCAGGAGGAGTGAGGGTTGCCTCAATGTCAGCTGCGGAGGCAGACACCTGTAAAGAACAAAAACATCCATATTATGAAAAAATAAACAATCACTAGGTGAGAATAACCTTTACCTGCTGTAAAAAAAATAGATATGGCATTCAGCATTTAAAACACATGGCAAGAATATAAACTTACATCTGCAAGAAGGACCAGTCCTGTTAGCTTCTCTCCAAAGTGTGCCATGAGCAGCTGCACAATGCAAAGTGCCATCTCTGTATCTTCACTATTAGAGAGGACATCTTTGACATCTTTGTTTGTAGGTTTTTCCCTGAAGTATTCTGTGATGGCTCTCCCACATTCCTCCATACTGAGTTCCAAGCTACGAAGCACATTGATGTCTGTAAGCAACTCAAAATGGGCGTAGATGTACCTCTGAATGAAAAGAAAAGGCCATTTGTTTTTCATATCTTCAATGTCAGGTGGTGGAAGTGCATTTATATGACGACGTTGTAGACAGAATGTGAGCTCCATTAGATTTTTGACCTCTGCTCTTTCAGCTCCACCTGAACCCTCCTGTCTGTAAATTTCCTCCAGTCTTTGGCGATGCTGCTCCACAGTCTCATTAGTTTCCTCTGGAGGGAGCTCTGGCTGAAACCTTGTACATCCGTAACTGTCGCTAGGGCCCCTCTTGTTTGTGGAACTGGATCTAGAGGCTCGGTGGTGTGTGTAGCGTCCTCCACGGTTCAAGTTCTCGATGCGGTTTTTCACTTGAATCAAAAGTGACGTATAACCTCCACCCAAAAGTGATCCATCCGGTGTCAGATCAGCAAAAGACTTTGGGTACTGTCTGATGATATTACGAACCACAGTGAAGCACTGTGAGCGAGTGGGATTGGCTTCATACCTCCTCATTTCATCTGTAAGTACTCTTATCATCTGGCGTCGTTCCACTGGTTTAGGTCTCTTGCCATCTACAATTGCAGAACGTATTTCCTGTGGCATTCGTTCCCATGGGACCTGGAATGTTTCTGGCCATGTTTTCAGTACTTGAGATGTGGAAGGTCTGCTGCTTGGATCGCTGTCTCCTGTCTGGCTTGAGAATAATGCAGTGGCCGACACATGTGATGTGCCAGAATGAGGTGGAGTGCCTGATGAATATGGAGACTCAGAGAGAGACGACACACTACTCATTGGTGAAGAAGTTGGAAGAGATTGGACATCCAGCGTAACTATCTCGGTCTCTGAAACAACAAAATGAACAAAGATTTAGTATATTACTAATATGCTATATCAGTGTCACTGCAGACATCTGGCCAAATGTGGATTCAGAACTTAAATGGCCTTTGTTTTCCTGTCAAATTAGCTCGTCAAGACCATCCCCAGCAGAAACAGCCGACATTCTATGACAGAAAGATTTTGTCAGTCCATAAAAATGGAAGTGAATAACAACATGATTGTCATTAGCACTGTGGCTCTTCCAGATGTCATCAATCTGCTTTGCTACTGTGATTGGTTAAAATGTTCAGTTAATAAGTTGGGTGATATAACATTACTGATCTGATCAATGAAGCAATCAATGAGTAACAATGGACAAATATGGACAAAATAAGCACAGGATGATTTCTGTTATATTACAAATGGCCCCTGGTACAAGAATGTTTCTGGGTAAATTATGCACCAATTCTTTACATCTGTACTCCATTTTAGTACTAGTACATACAAGTAAAAGTACTGTATCATCATTTAAATGCCACACTGAATTAGACATATATTACCTAATTTGAAGGCATTCAGGAGTTTTCTGAGCTGAATGACAGGTAACAGATCGGCAATGTCTTCCTGCTGTACATATTTTAAATCTTCTTTTGACTCCAAACCAGAGCTCTGAAGCTTTGATATTATCTGCCACTGGCCCTCTTCAGAGAGATTTGGCAAGGTCTTGCAGATGATCTCTTTGATTTCCTCACTCAAGTTGGCCATTCTGGAATGAAGGGAGAGAATGGTGAAGAATTATCACTGGGGTGCCATGAACAGTGTACTCAGGCAAGGGGTAGTAATCTAGCAGATTCTCCTGATTAACACAACAATAGCTTCTCTGCATCACTGTAAGGCTATAGACACCCAAGTGAGGAAGGCGCATGGCATGGTATTTTTCAGCAACTAAATATACAGATGAATCCTTGTGAATGAGAACCACTTTGATTTTTCCGATTACCACCCCTTCGTCATCTTCATCGATCACAATGAACATGTTCTTTTTGTATTTTGTACCCTTCACAGTCACTTCATGGGCTATTATAGTGTTTACAGCCTCAAAATTATGATGTGCAACTGCATTTCTTATGTCATCATTGTAGTCACCTGAGAAAAACTGTGTCCCCTTCTCAGCAAAAACAGCTGGAGGGAAGAAGATGCCAGCACTCAGAAAGGCCTGCAGAAGTTGATGTCTCTCTGCAAGAGTAGCACATGGATTCTTAAAGTTACGTAGTTTTCTCAAACACTGCTTAAAATATGTGTGTTTGCTCTCGAATCTTAATGTCCATAGACGGATAAGTGGCCCAAACTGGACAATGAGCTCTGGATAATGACTGACATAATGATGTTTGGGCTTTAGTGGATGGTCAGGAAAGGCTTGCTTTCGACAATGCAAATATTCATCAGTCAGAACTCTTAGATAGGCTATCTGACCAGTTGAAATCGCTGGTGCACAAATGAGGTCCACAACTTCTCTAAGTTGTAAAACCAACTGCCATATTTCGTTGTCATCTGGATTTTGTATTTTGTCTCCAATCAAGACAGGCAACATTCTGAGCAAACACCAGTTTTGCACAGCATGCCCACCAAGTTTTCCAACCTCTGGATTAACCTCAGGAGGTTTGTCATTCGCATCCTTACCAAGATACTTAAACTGATTTATTTGCCGATTCAACTCAAGATAGCTGAACTGTTTATCCACCTTAACAAGATGGTTAATGTACAATGCCAAATCAGAGGATACAATACCTTCAAAAAGATCATGGCCAAGACATGGGGGTAACCCTGGTTGACATACATGGAAGTATGTGAGTGTATTAAACACAGAGTCAAATTTAACACCTCCACTTGATGAGGACTGTCCTTCACTGCTCTGAACATGATCATTGTAAGACTGTATTGTGCGGTTAGTGGCCTCGATAAGAGGATCTGCATTGAATGCTTCTCTGCTGATATCACAATATCTACAGAAGTGTAAACTCCTGCTAAAATTCTCAACAAAGCCTCCTATGTTATGTGAGCCTAGGTTGTCCCCTGCAATGGCACATAAAGTCCCTTTGTAGACCTTTCCATCAGACAGAGTAAGACCATTGAGCTCAAGGTCTTTCAGGTCACTAACCAGTGAGCCCATAATCAAGTGTTGACCAAAATACTTAAAGTCCTGTTCTTTACAGAGAAGAACAAGTTGCATGTGGTCAGCACTTGATCTACTGTGTGGCAGTAAATCAGCAAGAGTAAGATACACTGCAAGTATCTTGTGTTTTTTCTTTCCAGATCCCAGTGGGTTTACCACTTCAAATGCATCCTGATATAAAATCAAGCACAGTGATGAGCTGTCTGTCTGGAAGAACACATTTTCTGCAATATTTCTGCCATCCCACACATCTCGGAGAACATCCTTAGAACGGACACTGGAGTGTACTTGCTTATATTGTTCCTGAACTGGCTCACAATGAAAGAGAGATTCAATTGTTTGTTTAATAGGAACATACTGAGCGAAACACTCTTTGCCTGCCTCATTCTGACCTAGACAGATCTGAACTGGTTCAACATAATTGAAGCTGTTCTTGAAAACAGTTTTTCTTTTCTGGTCAGTTTTCAATGATTGGGTGTTGCACGCCCTAAAGAGATCCTCAGTTTTCAGGACATCAATTACATTGCTGGAGTCAGCTTCTGAAACCCCAAGTGTAACCAACTTTTCTTTCAGTTTGAAAAGCATATGGGACTGGCTTATATCATGAATTTCCTGAAAATCTTCAACAATTGTTTGAATGACAGAGGATGGAAGCAACAACTTTGCTTGCAATTTCAAATAAAACAGGGCTAGATTTCTGAAGAACTGGGGTTCATCTGCATTTTCTGCATAAATCTCTGATTGCTCTTCACCTGCATCAATGGGAGGATCAATATGCATATCAGACTGATTTTGTTCACTCTCGTGTGAGATGCCAGGATTCACAACTGAATCAACCAGATGTTCCTCAGCACCATTTTTATGCCTCCTACTCATGTGTGAGGTGAATGTGGATAAAACTGTAAAACTCTTGTCACAGTTTCTATAAGGGCAAGAAACTGCTTTTCCCTCACTGATGTGTGTTTTCAGATGAGAGTAAAAGGCCCTCAAGTTCTCACACCTTGCAGTGCAGAAGTCAACATGACATGTTAGTTCAACTAGACCACATAGTCTAGGCCTGACTACACATTTGTATTTATGTCTGTAAATGTGACTCTTAAAAGTGGAAAAGTTTTGAAAAGCCCGACAGCAATCTGGCAAAACACACTTGAAAGTTAAATTTGGTGTATTTTTATGAATTCTCATGTGCCTCACATAAACCAGTATTGTGGCACAGTTATGACTACAGACCTGACAGGGAAACATTGCTGCCAATGGAGCAAAACATGAAGTAACCTACATTGTTGTCAGACTTTTACTCCTGATTTTCATTTCCATTCTATCAACTTTCGAAATTAGTGCTGACTTAGCCAACTATATAATCAAACATATTATGCATTGATTTTAATTAGGCTAAAACATGTCAACAAGAACCCAGTATAATTGCTGGCTGCTTTTCTTTAAGTCAACACCTGTATCACAGCTCACACTGAAAATTCTCTTTGTTGGCTATGAAATCGATGAAAGAAATTAATGTTGTGATCTATGTAAACACTAACACTATCAGCTGGTTCTCCTCTCAAACACAAACCACCATACCACTTACAATTATTCCAACACCATTCTAAGTTAAGTTTGTAAGTGTATTTTTTTCATGGCATTAGCAGGTATCAACTCAAGAAAATTCACAGATGATTCCAAACGGTTTGCATTTGATTAAATACTTTTTCCAGCGGACCACTTTCCATCAGTCCAACAACCTACCAATTTATTGCTGCCTGTGTGTGCGTGTGGCTGTGTGGCGCGCAGGAGAGCAACTAACGTACCAAAGACAGACAATTTAGACAAATTAAATTCAAAATGTCAAGAAAGGGGACCTATTTACTTGTCTTTCTTGTCCTATTGTCTAATCATTACAAAAATCGTTGTATCTCATGTAAAAGTTGTTTTACTGAACAAGGATTAACGTTAGCTTACGTGCCTTAACTCAGTGTTTGACAAATTTCATTCAAACTCGACAGAAAGTAACGTAGAACTCACCACAGCATCTCTGTTAGTCATTTCACTGTTTCATCATCCACCAACTGTAGTTTGCTCGTAATAATCCCTTAATTCACACTGCTAGATGTAAATACGTTCTAGCTTAACGTGCTCTTCATCCCCTCCGTCATGCTAGCCTCGCCTGGTTGTGCTAACGTGACTGCGTAGCATGAACTGAGCAGCAGTTCTTACTCAAAATAAATAAAAATAACACACTCACTAGCTAGCCAACTTGCTGAGCAACAGTTCGATTTCAAACATAATTTTAGTTGTATTCTCCTGGCGAAGAAACAAAGATAAGTTAG